CATGAGAGGGGGGAGGGTCAGAGGGAGAAGCAGACTCCCTGCTGAACAGGGAGCCCGATGCGGGACTCGATCCTGGGACTCCAGGATCATGACCTGAGCTGAAGGCAGTCGCTTAACCAACTGAGCCACCCAGGCGCCCCTTAATGTCACCTTTCTAATCAGCCCTCATTTCTTGTTCACATTTCATCTTCACAAGAGCAATTAAAAATCTCCTATGGATATCACAACTATTGGCAAAGTTTACAGATGGGATACTTAATATATTATCATTAATTCAAATGTGAAAAATTTAAAAACAGCATGTCCACATCATTAGTTTCTAGTAGCATTTATGCATTACTTGAAAACACATTTAATTCTATGCTCAAGTTAATTTTTGTAGATAGTATCCATTTCAATTTTGAAATTTGAATTTAAAAGCTGTTTTATTCAGAATCTTAAACTATCGAAGTAGAATATATAAGGAGCTCTACAGAAATAAGAAATGCACCTCTTTGAATAAGCTACCTACCCAATATGATATTTTAGAGATACTCATTAATTTATTCATTCATTCAGAAAATTCGCCTCAATGCCCGTTGTGTGCAAGGCACTGGACTAGGGGCTACAGGTGTGAAGTTGAATAAGGCACGATCCTGCCCTTCAAGAGCTTACAAACTAGCAGAGGTATTGTACAACCGGCGAGCTAGAAGGGATTCCTAATGTAAAGAGGAGCGAATACTTTCTGCGTTGAGTGTTAGTTTGGTTGTCTTTGCGAAAGCTTCTCTCTTTTCATAATACGCGGCCTCATTTACAAACACCGGGTACACAGTACCGTCTCCGCCCAGTGGAATAATCTGTCCATCAAGAGTTAAAAACACAGGATCCCCAGGGTGCAGCGGTTTCCAGTCTTGATCCTCTCAGGAAACAATTAAAATATGTAAGTTACATTTGGTTTTTTCCCCCTGCTTTTAAAGTTTTAAGCCAGGCTCTACATGACTAATAAACTATAGCATTGTATAAAAAAGGAGATACCTGAGAGATACTCATCACACATGAGTGATCTCACTAAACGGAGGCCGAGCCATTACTTTGGGCAGCAGTTTTAAGAGTTCCCCATTTAATTTTTATAACTGATACATGTAATTAGAGTTTGCCTCAATACCAAGTTTGTCTTGAATGTTGACAAGGAGGTTTAGAGTATGAAAGGGCAAAACTAAATGCATATCTCCCTAAGTGTATGTTCAACCTGTTACACCGCTGGGGATGTGAAAGTGAGTACCACTGTACCTGCCTGCAAAGGGATTCTATTCGGATGGGACTCAGGCAGAGAAGGAGGGGGTGGGCTGGGGCAAGTCTAAGATAAGGTGAGAGTTCTCCCTGGTAACAAGTGAATTATCTGAAATGTCCCACATCAGGGATCTGGACCTCTGAGCCCTCACACCCCAATGCTGTCACACAACAGGAACCCTAAACCAGTTCTTCCCAAACTTTGACATGTTTGCAGATAAGTGTATGCATTTTGTTAAAATGCAGATTTGGATTCTATGAGTCTGGAGCAGGGCCCACGATTCTGCATTTCTAACATTTCCCAGCAGCACCTGGGAGTTTATTAGAAAAGCACAATTTCATTACCCCTGCAAACTTGCTAAATCGAAATCTTAACGTTAACAAATCCCCAGAGATTCACATGCACAACATTAAAGTTTGGGAAGCACTGCATTGTGGCGATTTGCTCAACCATGACTGCACATTATAATCACCTGGGATGTTTAAAAAGTATAGAGGAGTAGAGGGGCTGACTGCACCACCACAGATACATGAAATCAGAACCTCAAGGGTGGGCTCAGGCACTATTAATTTTCAAACATTTGTTTCAAAATTTACATACAGTAAAATTTTTTCATTTTTAGGCATAGTTCTCTGAGTTCGGATATGCATAGCATAGACTCAGGTAAGCACAGACTATGGAACGAAGGTGCATGATTCCAGCACACACTTCCCTCACTTCCCTGTTTACAGCTCACTGTTGGTTCTGTTTTTCAAAGCCCCAGGCGATTCTGTAGGACGGCTTGTTGATAGCTACTCCTCTGGAGCGGAGATTTTCAGCCCGAGATGTGCCTCTGGAACAAGGGATGCAGCTTCTTTGCTGCGCCCGCAGAGATGCCGGGGTCGAGCAGGGCTACGCAAACCTGAGCCACATGGACATCACCTGGAGACCTAACTGATTGCCTGTGTCCACCTTGATGAATTAAATCTCTTGGTAAGGGACCTGGGAGTCAAGATCTTTTAAAAGCTCCTCACGTGATTCTCCTGTGGCCTAAGTTGGGTTTTTTTTAAGATTTTATTTATTTATTTGACAGAGAGAGAGAGACACAGCGAGAGAGGGAACGCAAGCAGGGGGAGCGGGAGAGGGAGAAGCACGCTTCCCGCGGAGCAGGGAGCCTGATGCGGGGCTCGATCCCAGGACCCTGGGATCATGACCTGAGCCAAAGGCAGACGCTTAACGACTGAGCCACCCAGGTGACCCCCCGTGGCCTAAGTTTGAGAAACACTGCGTTGGTGCTTTTGTAACAGGTTCCAGGCATTTGGGGGTACATCCCCTAGATCACTCCAGTGAACATCCCGGATTAAGAACCATCACTCTTAGAATAAAACCTGGACTGTGTCTCTAGCTCCAGGGTCTACTGTCCTCTCTGTTCTCTCCCTACTCTCCATTGACACTGGTCTTGCTGTTCCTCAAACACTCCAAGTTTGTTGCAGCCCCAGGGCCTCTGGACTTGTTTTCCGTGTGGTTGACTTCTCATGGTCCAGCTCCAAAGCTAACATCTCAGAGATGGTTCTTTCAGACCGCTCCATCTAACAGGAACCCTCTGTTAGCCTCCATCATTCTGTTTATTTCTTTTACAGTACTCATTACAATTTGAAATGATCTGGTTTATGTATTATTTACTTATTCCTCCCTTGATTAGCATGGAAGTTCCATGAGGGACTTTGTCTATCTTGAATATCAGGGCCCAGAATAGGCTTAGTAGTCATTCAAATATATTTATTGCAATAACTAATGAATCACTTGTTCCTTGCAGAATACTGAGCCATCAGATCAATACTATCCTTCCTTTCAAGACCTACCACTAACCCTGTTTGTTACTGATCCTTGCCTCACTTCTTGGCCTCCCCAGGATGATTTTTGTACTCTTCAAGGATCCCCGAGGAATACAAATCTTAAAAAAATCCTGTGTTGTAGCCAGTTAGGACATCAACATCTTGACCTCTGTTTCTGCACTTGCTATTTTTGTTACCTGTAGGACTTTCTCTCTCTCCTTCAATCTTTATCTTTCTTTCCTTTAAATCACTGCCTAAGAAGGGAAAAATGAAGGGTGGGGGGAACCGGAGGGGGAGACGGACCATGAAAGACTATGGACTCCGAGAAACAGACTGAGGGTTTTAGAGGGGAGAGGGGTGGGGGGATGGGTTAGCCTGGTGATGGGTATTAAAGAGGGCACGTACTGCATGGAACACTGGGTGTTATATGCAAACAATGAATCCTGGATCACTACATCAAAAACTAATGATGTACTGTATGGGGACTAACATAACATAATAAAAATAAATAAATAAATAAAATAAGTTATGGGAATGTATTGTACAGCATGATGATTATGGTTAATAATACTGTATAATATACTTGGAAAGTTGCTGAGAGAGTAGATCTTAAAGGTTTCTGTCAGAAGAAAAAATTGTAACTATGTATGGTGATGGATGTTAACTAAACTTATTGTGGTGATCATTTCATGACGTACACAAATATCAAATTATTACGTTGCACACCTGAAACCAATGTTATATGTCAATTGTATCTCAAAAAAGATTACAAAAAAATAAAGGCTTATCTTTTTAAAAAATAAAAATAAATAAATAAATCACTGCCTAAGGCTCCTTCTTCTGGTTCCACCTTCTGGATCCCACGAAGGCACCAAGCACCATATGTCCCGCTTGTCTGCATTTTGGGGCAGGCTACTTTTTAAAGCTGTAAGTCTGGATGACCATTACTAGGGTCATTAAATAGGAGTCTGAACTGATTCAGTGGCCCTCCACCTTGATTACCCAGGCCAATAAGATCAGATTATCTGAGTGGGATCCTGGAATCTCATTCTTCAAAGGCTCTCTAGGCAATGTGTAGCGGGAGCTGAAAGCCCACGATTAGATAATCCACCAGGTCTCTTCCATCTCTGATGTCTGAGGGTGAGTAGGGTACTCACAATGGGAATGGATGTTTTAGCTTTTTGGAATCTTTGCTCCTCCTTTTTTCTACCGTTGCCTTTCCCAGATTTAAACTCTCCCAAGAGCCTTTTTTAACTATGCCGTAATTGATCAAACCAGACAAGGAACAGATGCCAGGGTTCTGAGGAGAGTGAGGAATGGTGGCAGGAGACATTGCAAAGAAAGAGGTTCTGAGAGTTTTGCTCTTAACTTATTCAGTGCTGACCACAGGGAGGTGGCAGCAATGTGGTCTACGGCAAAGAACATTAGTTCTGGATCTGCCACTGATAGCTATAGGACTATGGGAAGGATCGAACTTCTGAGCCTCTGTTTTCTTTTTTTTTTTAAGAAATTTTTTTGAATGTAGTTGACACACGATGTCACACTAGTTTCAGGTGTACAACATAGTTTATACCTTATACTATGCTCACCCCGATGTAGCTGCCATCTGTCACAGTACAACGCTATTACATATCACTGACACACGAGCCGGTGTGAACCTAGTTTTCTTATGTTAAAATAGATACAATAATTCCTGCCCCATTGCACTTGGGCAGGAATTTCACCTTCCCAGAGAGGCCTTGCCTGACCTCTTCTCCTTACTTCGTTATTCTGTTATAGCATCTG